GTGTGTGTGTGTGTGTGTGTGTGTGTGTGTGTGTGTGTGTGTGTGTGTGTGTGTGTGTGTGTGTGTGTGTGTGTGTGTGTGTGGGAGGAGGAAATGCATCAGTCTAACTATGGAGTGGTGAAGAATAACTGGGAGTGTCAGTTGGAGGAAGCTGGCGGAGAGGAGCTGAACACACTGACAGAGAAATCGGGGAGTTCACTTTGAAGAAGTTTCCAGGTTCACACACACGTGAAACTGGCTTTTTGCTCCAGCTCCAGCTATTCATTTCCTTCCGAACCATTTCTCCCTCCAGCTTAGAAAAACACCCACTCTTATCTACCTTCCCACCTCCATTTCTTACTCTTTATACTTATCTCTAATGTTGACACGTCCCAGAAGGCCAGAGGAGGTCTGCAGTTTATATCTGCGCTCGCACACACACCGGTAAACTCAAACTGAACTTCCAGAGCGTGAGGTGAAGTGATACAACTTTTTAAACTAAAGAGTAAATATGGCTCAGAGTGTTTGTGGTTTGATGGTTATGGAAGTGGACAGTTACTGGAGGACTGCCAGTTCAATCCCTCTGCCAGAAACATCTTTGGGACAAGCTGTGGCGTCTTCCTGGCATTTTATATGTTTGCGTACTACAGCAAGTTAAAATGACGGCAGCAGTGATCGAGGTTTTCTGTAACTGTCCAAGTCCGTTCACATTTTCTTTTCCATTAACCAGTCTTTAAACACACCAGAGCCAATACTGTGTTCCTGTTAGTGTTTACTTCCTGTATGTCTTCTTCTGCTGTTCCCTTTAGTGTTTACTTCCTGTATGTCTTCTTCTGCTGTTCCCTTTAGTGTTTACTTCCTGTCTGTCTTCTTCTGTAGATTTGTCTGACGTCCAGCTCTCTGGGTGTTTCTCAATGTCGAGGATGCTTCCTTGGTAGGACATGTCTTCCGAGTCCTTCAGAAGCGAGGCAAGAATCCTTCCTAGCCTCGGAAAATTAAGAAATGTGGAACAGGCTAACAGGCTAACAGGCTAACAGGTGTGCGTCATATTTAAGGCCCGAAATTTCTCGCTACGAAGGACGCCGGCCTCGTTAGAATTCCAAGGAGCCTGGACATTGGAACAGTCCTTCGGCGGGACTCGATGACGTAGCATCCTTGAAATAGTTGCTCTGGAGCATCCTTCCTTGACATTGAGAAACACCCTCTGTCTTGTATCCACTTTCCTTCTCTTGCGCTCTACTTCTTTTCTTTAATGGGGACAGTTTAGCGATCATGAATCCAGCTTTTCCTGCTCTCCACAAATATAAACATTTATGTTTTGAAAGTCCTCCATGGTGTTTTCTGACAGAGAAAAATAATGTTTGTTGACCGGACATATTTTTGCGGATTGATATGACTGCACATAGTCCCTTGATCAGAGGGGCCTTCTTATCAACAGTCTTCTATCCTTAGCAACGGTCTTCTAAAAATAACAGACCTCTGGAATGTCCAAATTGACCAATCAGAATCAAGTATTTAACTAAGCTGCGTAATAGTTCTGCTTATCTTTTGTTAAGATGTTTCATGTTTTAAGTTACCTCCAAATTGTCTGTGTCTTTGGTAAATGCGGTTTCTTGATGTGACATAGCTTGCCAAACAGGATGAAGCACCAAAACCATAAAAACCTGTAAAAAAGTCATGCTCACAAACTTTGTAGACGCATGCCAAAGTTTGTATAAACTCAGTAGTGGAATAAGAAAGGGAATGATTGATAGCGGAGAAAATGAAATCAATGCATGATCCTATCTTTCTATTTTAAACAGAAATACCATCGCTTAGATAATAAATACAGACACAGAAACGACCCCCTGCTGCTCCAACCTACCACTTTTGCTGACAAAAACAAAACAAGGATGAAAACTGAAAAAGAGATTTCTTGGTCGGAGTAACTGTCCCTTGACGATTTCTGTGGGCAGTTCCTTGCTCACACAGAAGGAAAAAGTATGTGAAACTTTTCTTTGGAAATAAAATGTGCCTGATCTCTCTTTCTCATTAGACTCGTGCAGAGTACTGTATGTCGTTTAAAAAAAGATATATCATATATACTGCTTGACCTTTCCACTTCACCTGCTCTTAATACCTCTCTAATTAAGAGCTTAATTAGGACGGAGCTTGCCAATTAATGGGCTCTGACAAGTAAAGGATTCGGCCTGTGGTGAGGGAAAATGTCAGCTCAGAAAAAAGAGAAATGAATGAAGCTATTGTTGCTCTAAGGAATGAAATACTGATTTATATAATTTCAAAAGCATATTTGTCTTTCAGCAGCGTGACAAAGGACAAAAGCAAACCTGACCGTTTTTAATTGGATCATTTTCAATTCAATTATACCTGTATCATCTTGTTTTATTCTGCCTATTTAATGAAAAGTGCCTGTCATTTAAGGATCAACGCTAAAATACACTACTGTCAATTGTGAAATATTAAAATAAAAGTTTTTTTCAAAGTTCCCATCACACATAAAAGATGAAGCCATTTCCAGCAGAGAGCGACGTGTGAAGCTCATTCCTTTGACAACAACACCACTTACTTTAATCAGCAGATAACAGCTCAGTTATTTCATTTCACTGAAGATTTTATATGTCTTTCATTTTTATACCAAGGCTTTGTTATTTTTCCCTTCTTCTTCCCTCGTTCTTAATTTAAGTCATGAAAGTGTCTTTTTCTGTTATTATTGTAGAATAGAGAATACACAGAAACTCTCATCACATTTAGTTTTAAATGAAAGCAGACTTCACAATAAGTCAAATGTATTATCAAAGTGTGTTGGTGAAATGGAATCCTTAGATCAACATCTTTTTTTATATTAGTATTATTATTATTTGACACTACTTATGTTTATACTTATGTACTTATGTACACTCTGTTTCATTTTATTCCATTACACATATCCTAGCTTACTTTTTTTTGCACCATAGTCAGAGCCCTATTATGCTTTTTGGGGTTTTCCCTTTCCTGTAGTGTCTTATATAGGTTTTTCGTGCATGTAAATGGTCTGCAAAGGCTAGAACCCCTGAGTTTCTCTCCCACACACTCCCCCTTAAACGTCTTTTGTTTACTTCCATTACATAATGACATCACTATATAATACTAACGCTTCTATTGGCTAGTGCTTTAATACAACAAATTAGCACAATAGGGTCTGTGAAGCTGACCGTTGAGCGGCCCGACCAAGTAAGGAGGCAGAGGCAGAACATCCAAATACAACCCGGCATTTATTCATCACTGACACATGATTCACAGCCTCAGTTGCTGTCCACCTGAACACAGTCAGCAGCCACAAGGATCTCACACCACCAAAATCACAGAACACACAGAGCCTAGATACCCACAGACTAATCAATCAACAAGACACAGGTGAGGGGGGGGGAGACAAAGTTACCTTCGTCACAGGGTCCCTTTAAAAAATAACCATAACTTCCTCCTACGCTTTAAAATCCTATTGGATCTTTTTTTCTGGCCTATTGGCAAATGTGAGGAATTAGTAACTATTTCTCTTTTGCACTATAACCGTAAACTGAAGCAAAAGGTGGATGTGAACTATTGCACTGCTTTTGTCTACTTTGGTACTTTTTTGGACCAATTCTTTCATCCCCAAATCTGAGCGCAAAGACATCGTCTTGAAGCGATGACGCATCAGTTACAGTTGCCAGCACATTTCTTCAGGGTTGCAGTGAGTAATGCCGTTTTCACATCCAAGCGTGCATGCTGCCAAACGCACGTGCCAAGCGAAAGCGGTGGTGCTATCAAGACCACCAGGGAAAAAATTCAATTTAAAGTTATTTTGGACACACACACACAAGCTCAGGACCAAGTGTGTGTGTGTGTGTGTGTGTGTGTGTGTGTGTGTGTGTGTGTGTGTGTGTGTGTGTGTGTGTGTGTGTGTGTGTGTGTGTGTGTGTGTGTGTATGCATCTGTTTGTTTGTGTCCCAAGTTTAATGAAGTTGCAGAAGCAGGAGCGTTTGGCTGATGTGGGACTGAAGCCTCCTCATCCATATTCAGAGTCTGAGCTAGGTTCCGCTTGGCTTCTCCCACACAGACACTGTCACATACACACAAACATACACACACACACACACACACACACACACACACACACACACACACACACACAA